CCCGAGGTGGCCGACAGTGGCCCGAGGTGGCCGACAGTGGCCAGAGGTGGCCGACAATTCCCTTTTTGCAGCCACTGTCCTGAGAGCCTATAAATAGGCCTAGAGATGTTCATTTTCAGGGGTCGAACTTTCAAGAGCCGAAACTCTGCCGGATTGAAGAGTGAACTCGGAGCTTGAAGACCAGAAGACTTGCACATTCAGATCTGATCCTCGGCGACCATCCACGTCAGAAAAGGCAGGATCTCGAGAGGAAGAAAGAACAGATCTGAGATCTACACGAGACTACACTCCAGATCTAAGCTTGGTCTTAGATCTCGAGATCTGAGCGATTATTCCCTTGGTGGATTAATCCCTCCCGGCTATTATTCCCTTCGTGGAATAATACCCGCATACTCGTGTAGATCCGACCGGATCTAGATCGCGCGGTGGTCCACGGATTAACCCCGGCGCAGGCAAAGAACCCACCAAAGCGAGCGACCGCAAAACAGGAGCTCGTGATTTGTTCACAGAGGAGAGTTGTAATTTTTCTTTATTTTCTTTGATTTAGTTGTAACCGGATCTATAAAAGACCGGATCTTTGTAACCCAAGATGACAATCATATCAATGAAAAAGAAAACAGTTTTCCACGCGAACAATCTGGCGACCACAGTGGGAGCCGACGATCTCGCCAACGAGATCGATGCGTCGCAGCCGCGGATTGCAATCCCGGTCGTGGAGGAGGTCGAGTACGAGTTCGACCAAGCCAAGTTCGAGGAGTACGTGTCCTCGTCCGGCTCTATCTCCCCCCGCAAGTCCAAGAAGTTCTCCTCCGGGAGAAAAGCTCGTTGGTTTGAAGCTGCTCGGGAAGCCCACGAAGCTCTCAACCCAACTGACGCCGAAGTTGCGTCAAATGAAGTTCCACCGACCTCCAATCAGGTCAACCCAACTCCCGCCAACGCCTCTACTGTTCAGGGCGTTGTGACTCTCTCAAAGAGAGCCCGCCAGAGGCGTCGTCAACGCCTTGCGCGGCAATTCGCTAAGGCGATGGAGTCTACGGACGGATTCCGCTACCACGCGGAGTTGAAGAACAGAAGAGGCAAACAGCCTCAACCACCAATGAATGGCGACTCGTCCAAGCCGCCAAAGAAAGAATGGGTCCGCGTCAAACGGAACCGTTCGACGCTCGAGGAGCGCATTCGCAAGCGCCGCGCGATGTCAGCGCAGGCACGGGCTCAAGCTCAGGAAGCCCGTAGAAAGCTGCAAAAGGATGTGGAGAAGAAGCCGCCACCAACACGACAAGTCTGGAAGCCTAAGTCTGAAGTGGCGATTCAGGCCAAAAAGCAACCAGTGCAGCCTTCTAAGGAAGGTCCAACTCCGGCGAGTCAACCAAAGTCGCCGTCAATCCCAATAACTTCTCCGGGAGATCATGCAGAATCATCCCGTAAGAAGAAACCAATTTTGGAGCGCCTCGGTCCAGTTCCTGACGCGAGAGGCAAAGCTCCAATTCACGAGCGTTTGGGCCCGATGAAGAAGCCCAGAACGACTCAACATACTGGGGGTCGCCATCACCTCCAGCATGACAAAGACCTCAAGGCAGCTGCGCGCACCAATTTGCGCATTGAAGTCCAAGAGCACGCCGAAAATTCACGCCCAAAAAGGCATGTTTTGAGGCGGGTAACCTTTGAAAGCCCAAAGAAGGCAAGTCAACCTCAGATGGAAACATTATCATCTGATAATGATTGTGTTGTACCTGAGAAGGCGTGCCCGCACACGATAGGTTACTCTGACTGTCAAAATGACGAGTTGTACTATCGTGCTGGGGGTACGAATAGAACCAGGAAGAGGAGTCCCCGAGAACGGGAAATTCAATGTCCCTGTTCCAAACTCATTCGGGCGGTATTGTCGGAATGCAATTGCATTAAGACGGTCCCCGAAAGAGTTTCAGTTTTTGAAAGACTTAATGCGGAAACGTCAAAACCAAGGCCTAGGCGCTTTCAACGAAGAAGAAGGGTGATTGAAGACGGAGAATTTCCGAGGGTCATCACCAACATGACGAGCAAAGGGACATCGGCACGAGAAGATTTCGAGTCGATTCTGAAAGCTTCCCGACC